ATCTCTGTCTCACCAATGTTTCTCTCTCTGTCTCTCTCCCTCCCTTCTACTTTCTAAAAATCAATGGAAAAATATCCTCAGATGAGGATTAACAATTTTTTTTTTAATTTTAGCTTTAAGATAAATAAGCCCTCCTTCATGACATGCCAGTTCTTGGACATGCTTCTTTCAAATATATTTTTAGTAATGTCCTTGAAAATAGAAAATGCCTAGTTGAACTTATCTGTTTATACAACTACTGGTTTGTTAGCTACCTTTAATAGAGACACATAGTTTTGTATTCTGAGTCAATGACCAAAAAGGTGTTCAACAAGTACTTGCTGAAAAAGAAAACATTCAGGAAAAAAAAATTCACTAGGTAATTCTCCTCAAAGACCATAATTAAAGCATAGAATTCACTTCCATTTCCCTTTAAGTAATATTTCTTCCTTGAAACCAATAACACCTGAAATTCCACTTCTTATAGACTGTATGTCTTGGTAGAAAGAGCTGTCAGACCTATATTTGAATACACTTTCTGCCATTTATAGCTTATGATGATGCGGAACAGGTTTCTTAACTTCTCTAAGACTTGGTGTCCTCATCTAAAAAATGGGAATAACACCACCTACTTATAACCTACTAAGAATATTTTAAGGATTAGAAATGCACACGCAGTCTTCACTTTACAAGGTTCTAAAATGCACATATTTCAGTTACCCCAGTATATTAACAGTGAGTAATTACAGTACTACTAATGTGACCAGCTCTTCAGTCCTCAAATCGCTATGTAAATAATTGAAGCACATCACCATCAGCGATTAACCAAGTCACTTCTTTTGAATCCTGTTGGTGAATTTGACAAGATAAACTATAAAGGAACAACAAATAGGCTATTGGAGGACTTCTCATCAGCAATAATAAAAGCCAGCACACATTGGAATAATATTTTCAAAGTTCTGAGAGAAAATACTATGACAATTCACCAAGGCAAAGAAAAACATACTCATTCCATATCACGAGTTATAAGACAAGAGAGCATGCACTGTTCAAATTCCTCTTGATAAGTTCTTTTACAAAAAAAACACACATTTTAATTCTCATTATTTTAAACTTAGTATACTAAATAAATATTTATTTTTTATTTCTCTATATATTTATAATCAATAAAAAGTTTTACAATATTTGACATCTTTATTTATTTTATTGAAAGTATTACAGATGTCCTCCATTTTCACCCTTTTGCTCTCCCACACCTAGCTCCTATCCTACCCCCCTGTCCTTCCCCTGTCTATTGTCTGTGTCCATGGACTATGCATATATGCATATAAGTTCTTTGATTAATCTCTTCTCACCCTCTCTTCCTGCCTCCTTCTGAGATTTATTACGACAATCTGTTCCATGCTTCCATGTCTATAGTCCTATTTTGTTTGTCAGTTTATTTTGTTGTTTAACAACAGTTTTAAAGGTCACAGAACAATCATAAATTTTCCCATTAGATTTGCCAGTTTTAACTTGCACGGTCATTTATGTAGCCCCGCACTACATTGCAAAGTGAGGACTGCCTATACCTATAACTTTTGGCACAGCAAGGTGCTTATTATTTCACAACTAAAGAGAAACCCTCTGCCTTTCCCCTGGTCCTTATAATCTGCTCAAACAGAAAACAAATTTGAATTGAACTTGGCTGATGTTAAGAAGATAGCTTTTGAGAACCGTTGCCATATCTGAACATGCAATTCCCCCGACTCATCTTTATGTTATCCAAAATACACACACCCCAATCCTGAAAGATAGGCTTCTTAAACACTTACTCAGTCTGCCCTCTGTGTTAGTATACTATTTTGTGCTTGTCCTCATCCCTTACATGTGGGGACAAAACAATGAATGTGACAGAAGTAATATGGTATAGAAGCTCTAGAGTCAGACCTCAACTTGAATACTGCCTCTACACCACTTTTGCAACCTTAGATAAGTTACTTCTTAGAGTTTCAATTTCTTAATCTGTGAAATTAGGATAATAATACCATCTTTTTGGAATTGTGGCAAAGTTCAAAAGAGATAACATATATGAAGTGCTTAGAAAAGTGTGGTAAATAGGAGGCACTTAGATAGAATTATTATCACATTATCATATCTAATAAAAGAATAATATGTAAATTGACCATCTCTAACACACAAGATGACTGCCCCCATGTGGTCAAAGATCCTGCCCCCATGTGGACACAAGATGACCACCACAAGATGGCCAGCAGGGGAGGGCAGCTGGGAGGGACCAGGCCTGCAAAGGAGGGCAGTTGGGGGTGATCAAGCCTGCAGGGGAGGGCAGTTAGGGGTGACCAAGCTGACAAAGAAGGGAAGTTGGGGGCGACTGGGCCTGCAGGGAAGGGCAACTGGGGGGGACCCAAGCCAGCAGGGGAGAGCAGTTAGGGGGGACAAGGCCTGCAGGGGAGGGCAGTTAGGGGTGACTAAGCCTGCAGGGGAGTAAGGGGTAAACAGTAGTTAGGGGTAAACAGGCTGGTAGGGGAGCAGTAAAGCATCAATCAGGTTGGCAGGGGAGTGGTTAGGGGATGATCAGGCTGGCAGGAAGAAGCTATTAGGGGCAAACAGGAAGGCAGGAAGGCGAGCAGTTGGGAACCAGCAGTTCTGGATTGTCCAACTTCCCGTTTGATCGGGCCTAAATTGGCAGTTGAATATCCCTTGAGGGGTCCCAGATTGGAGAGGGTGCAGGCTGGGCTGAAGGATACCCACACCTCCCCCCCCCCCCCCCCGCACAAATTTCGTGGACCTGGCCTCTAGTCCTTAATATTTCTATCATTAATGTAAACATTAAAATGATGATAAAGTTGATTTCTTTTAAAAATATCATTACTAATCAGTATATTTTTCAAATATCAAATTCTCTTACTCCAACACATGATACATACCCGCCACTTAACCTCAACTTCCTCAAGATCATTTTTTCTCCCAAGGCACATGTGCAAAGGGTGACCAACATTCACTCGTTCTCTTCTTGCAACGCTTGATTCCTATGTCAAAACCCTCTCTGCAGTCTGCTCAGAGTTTTCTCTTCTGAGGAAACCAAGAACTAAGGCCATTTCCCATTTCCCAGAGCTATCTGCCAGAACCGTAGTATCTTGCTCTCTCATAGCTCACATGACTTAACTGTCAGTTTTCTCTTTTGATTCCAACCTTTGGTTCTAAACTGAGAGTCATTATTGCCTATATTTACCCACAAAGATGCAAAAGAACCTAAAGGCCAACTAAAACCAGCTCCTTTTCTCAACTAAACAATTCCACCTAAAACATTCACATGAGTTAGTGGAGGGAGCAATGTCTGTTTTAAACACTTTCAGTGACAGAAAGCCTTCTACCTTACAAGGCAACCCATTCCAAGATCCTATCTTTAGATAAACAGTTGCCTTAGGTTGAAGCAAAATCTCTCCCCTTACAGTTCCCACTTACAGGTGCCAATTCCACATTACAAGGAAATACAGAAAGTTTAATGCGCTCTGTGACAGCTCATCCAACATTTGAAGACCCATGAGTTTCTCTTCCATTTCCAGTTCAGGAAGCACGGTTTTATGTCCCTTCCCTCATGGGCCTCCTCTGGACCAGGTATGGGCTTGCCAACATTATCTAACAACAAATCGGAAGAGCCCTTCCCCTGCCAACATTTAGATTGCTAAGCACATACACTGCAAAGAATTCCTTTGCCCATATTCTTTCGCTATGAAGTAAAAAAATATTAATTTAAACCAGCAGTTCAGGAAAGTTCTCAGCCTATAGCGTGGTATAACGGGAATGGCACGAAGTCCTGGAAACAGCAGCAAGAGTTCTCTTTTCCTCTCTTTCTTCCTTTTGTCCTCTCTCTCTCTCTCTCTCTCTCTCTCTCTCTCTCTCTCTCTCAACTTAGCCAGTGACTGGGAACAGAATTAAGTAGAACGATCTGGCATGAAACCCTTGCCTCTCTCTTCTACAAGCCAAATACACATGCCTGGGAGACAGAAGCACCCAACAACGGGGAAGGTTAGCTAAACAGACTATTGCTTCGTGTCCTGAGAGAAAGGGAATCAAATGAAAAGAAGGAAGTAATAGGCAAAATACATTCTCTGTACCTAGCCAGAAGCAGGTGACTTGAAGGAGTATCAAACAGAGTGCTCTCAAAACATGGCCAAAGTATAAACAACAGAAAAATTAGTAGCAGATTATTCCGGTGGTGCTCTCCTACCCTGGCAGGACACACCACACACACACACACACACACACACACACACAGAAAAGCCCGAGGGGCCAGTGGTGCCGGCCTGTCCGTCGGGGGCAGCAGCCCAAGGACTCTGCTGCCCCCGAGTCTTGGGAAAGTGCCACCGGGGGAGACAGTGTCCCCGGGTGACCTCTGACCCCCAGGCTGTGGGACGGGAGGCAGAGTGGCAGCGGCGCGGCCCCGGTGCTCCCGGGAGCCCGGCACCGGCAGGAAGGTACAGCCTAGCTCTGCCTTCTGCTTCTGCGGCGAGGAGATAGTCGGACAGTCGTCCTCCGGGGGCAGGGAGCTCTGGCGCCTGGAGATATCCTAGGTGGCAGGGCACGGGGGCGGGGGCGGAGACCTGGCCCTGGAAAACCGTTTGCTGGAGGGGATCGAAGAGGTCTAATATTAACAGGGAAAGAGGAGAGCAAAGCCTTTGGGGTTCTCGCGTATGGGGGAGGGGAGGGCAAAGGAGGATCTGTTCCCCTCTCCCCGGCCCGACGGCGGCGGCGGCGGCGGCCACCGTGGGAGCAGGTGTCGCCCCCACCCCCTCGCCCGCCCGGACCCCCGCACTCCTCGGCGACACACTGGCTCCCAGTCCTCCCTCTTCATCCGCAGCTTCCTCCGCTCCTGCCCCGGCCCGGGCTCCCGCTGCAGCCCCCGGGGTCGGGCCTGCTGCCTCCCCGGCGGCCAGGTCCGCCCTCAGCCTTCCTCAAACGGCGTCTCCCCCTCAGCCCCGCGCCCGCTCCCCGCCCGCCTCACGCGGGGCCGCACTCACAGAACTCCGCCATGTACCAGGTCACCGCGTAGTTCTCCTCGCACCAGTCCAGCGTGGAGGTCGTGTGGCCCCAGTAGCCCTGACGGTCCGCGGCCGGAGCCATCACGCGCGCCGCCGCCGCCGCCCTGGCGCTCCGCTCGCTGCCCTCCGGCTCCCCGGACTCCCAGGCCCGCTCCCGCCCGGCTCGCGCGCTCCCCGAGCCCCGCCCTCCTCTCCGGGGGACGGGGCCCGGCGCCGTCACTCACACTGCCCCGCGGGGAGGCCACGCCCCCTGGCTCGGCGGAGACGCCCCGCCCCGCCCCGCCAGCGCCAGAACCCCAGCTCGAGGGGCGGGGCCCGGCGCCGTCACTCACACTGCCCCGCGGGGAGGCCACGCCCCCTGGCGCGGCGGAGACGCCCCGCCCCGCCAGCGCCAGAACCCCCGCCCCAGGGCGCCACGGGGCTGAGCCTGCCCCCTCCTTCCCCAGGAAAGGGTGTGATCGCGAAAGGCAAGTGGCAGGGACAGGGACAGCCTGCCCCGCCTCGACACGCCCTTGGCTGTAGGTTCGAGGTTCCTCAAATCCTGGAGGCGGTTTTTTGTCAGAGTGTGTCAGAACCTCCATCTCTGTGTGTGTGTGTGGTTTGATTTAATTGGGACGGGGTGGGAAGAAGCCTTCAACCAAGCCCTGGCTTGATGAAACCTGTGCAGAAACGCACTTCAGTATCTATCTCCCTGTGGCCGCAGGCCTGAAAGGAGCCCAGAAACAGAACACTCCTAGCACCCGAGGTTCGAGGAAATACACTGATTTTTTTTCCGCTGAAGGTATATAAGCAAGTGTCTCTAGGAAAACAAAGGGGAAGAGCAACAACAACCCTGGGCTGGGGGGGGGGGGGGGGAATAAAATGGTCATTGAGGTCCTAAAAAGAGAATGCGGCCCAAAGCAGGAAGAATTGACCTGCTTCGGTTTGGAGATTCCAAGCTAGAGCTTTCTATCCTCTAATGATAAGTGTGCCATACGCTGCAGGCAACCGACAGCCTCCCCTACTCCAGCCGCAAGACTCTTCACTGAGCTGCGGAGGCATCTCTTAAAAACAAATGCAATTGCCTCTGCCCCTTGGGTTAAGCTACACCAACTGGTCCTTAGCTTGGAAGGTGCTAGGTCAACTCCCATCCTCCTGCCTTCGTTCCTGCGGTTTATTCAGCTGGGACCGCTTTCCTCTCTTCTCCATTTGGCTAAATTCCACTGGCCCTTCACAATCCAGCTCCTTGAAGCCCACCCTGACTCTCACTTCCAAGAGCTCCCTTGCCCTGTGTTCACTTCCTCCCATGGTACACCCAGATTGTCTGTTCTTTACGGTCCTAGCACCCAGGATTCTGCCTGGCCAGGCAGTTTGAAATAAAGAGCATAGTTAAGGATTATATAAGTGCTATTTTCCAAGGAAACAAGTCTGATAGATGTAATCAAAGGTAAAAGAGAAAACAAGGAGAGGTGAGGAGCCCACATCTTAGTGACCTTAACAGATGATAGATGCAGAACCTTTATAACTGGGAGCAAAACCTAGGAACAGAAGTGGTGTGGTTTCTTAAAAATAGTAAGATATCTGAAATTTTTCTTTTGAGCAGCAGGCAGTGAGCTTCTGCTAGGTACCCAGCTCTTGGCTGGTGTTGGGAACACAAGGAGGTAAGTAGGAAGGGTGCAAAAGGTCAGTCTCCAGACAGATAAAAGCCACTGAGATGTGTGGAAATGTTTTCTAATCACTTGTATATCATCCTCTAACATTTCTGTTCAGTCATAGCTGGTTTCACACCGTGGAGAGATTGTTGGCCTGAGGACTAAAGGGTCCTGGGTTTGATTCCAGTCAAGGGCACAAGCCCGAGTTGTGGGCTTGATCCCCAGTGGGGCATGCAGGAGACAGCCGATCAATGATTCTCTCTCATCATTGATGTTTCCTCTCTGAAATTAAAAAAAATATATTTTTTAAAAATAAAATAAAAATGTCTGTTTAGTTTATGTTTTTAATATATAATAAGTGTGTATGTTTTACAAGTGAATAAATACCCATATTTATATACTCAAAATGAATATGCAGGAATACATGCTCAAAGTGATTTGCTGATGAGACTGAAATGAAAATACTGTAGCCGAAATCGGTTTGGCTCAGTGGATAGAGCATCGGCCTGCGGACTGAAAGGTCCCAGGTTCGATTCTGGTCACTGGCATGTACCTTGGTTGCGGGCACATCCTCAGTAGGGGGTGTGCAGGAGGCAGCTGATCGATAATTGTCTCTCATCGATATTTCTAACTCCCTATCCCTCTCTCTTCCTCTCTGTAAAAAATCAATAAAAATATATTTTAAAAAATAAAATTGAAATGAAAATACTGTAGAGACCATAACAATAGAGTATGGTGATACTATTATAGTACTTTGCTAGGAACAAACCCCAAATTAGGATGCTATGGGAGCCCTCACTGTAGAAGAACCTCTAACTCAGCCAAGTGATTCAAAACAGAAAATGAGACTGTAGGGGGCCCTTTGGGAATGCACATGGATGACCTTTAATTATCATCAGCTGAACTCAAGACACAGGCAGAGCCACGCCCGGGAACATGTTTCCCCAAAATGTGGGAGACTGTTATCGGTACTGATTTCTTATCTTCATCCATGTTCCTTGGAATAAGGAAGGAATAGGACCTTGACTTACCCAGGTCTGGATATGCTAAATCCCAGGGATGAGGAAAGGAATAGGACCTGGGCACACCCAAAACTTCTTTGTCCTTAAACCCCCCTTTGGAATAAATAAGTGTGCTGTGTTGTCTGTGGTGGGTGTTGACTATCTCTCCATCAGAGTGGCAGCCCCTCACCTGGATGCCAGCTAGAATCTACTTCTTTGTCTTGGTCTCTTTTTTTTCTTCTTTAATTTCTTAATCCCCAGCTCCTCCACTCAGGAACCTGTCTTTTTCCGTGCGAGTAGAGGAAAACAGAGAAACAGCCCCCTACACGAGACCTCGATTAAATCAATACCCTGTACATTGTTGAATAGTGGGGGGGAGGGGGGGTGGAATCTGCTATGACCAGAATGAAATTTAGTAAAGAAAAAATTCCTCTGCCCAGAAGAAAAGATGTGCTGCCTAGTACCACTCAGAAAGCACAAAGTGAACTTCACAGTTTCTTCAGCAAAATCTATCTTCCTTTTTCACGTTTCTAAAAATAAATAAATAAATAAATAAATAAATAAATAAATAAATAAATAAATAAATAAAATGTCCCTCTGAGTATAGAAGCAAAGCTTGGAAACATAGGGACCCAAAAATAGCCAAAACCATAGTGAAAAAGAAGAACAAAGTTGAAGAACTCACACTTCCGGATTTTTACACTTACTACAAACACTACACTGATCAAGACAGCGTAGTACTGGCATGAGAATAAACAGGTAGGCCAATGGAGTGGAATTGAGATTCCAGAAATATTTACAGTCAATTGATTTTCAACAGCAATGCCAAGATCATTCAAGAGGGAAAGAATTGTCTTTTTAACAAATGGTGCTGCTCTGACAACTGAATATCCACATGCGCAAGAATGGAATTAGACTCCTTCCTGCCACAATAAACAAAATTTAACCCAAAATGGATCATTGATTTACATGTAAGAGCTAAAACCATAAAACTCTTAGAAGTTTCCATAAAAGTAAATCTTTGTTTCTATGGAATGACAAAAGCACTTCTAATAACAACAAATATAGATAAATTGAACTTCATCGAAATTAAAAAAAAAATTTAAGTATAGTTGTATCATCAAGAAAGTGAAAGGACAACCGCAAAATAGGAGAAGACACTTGCAAATCATATATCTGATAAGAAGACTAATATTCCGAATATATAAATAACTCTTACAATTCAATAAAAACACAACACAATTAAAAAGTGGGCAAAACATCTGAATAGACATTTCTCCAAAAATCCCATGAAAGGAGATTCATGTTGTCATTAGAGAAATGCAAATCAAAACCACAATGAGATCTTACTTCTTACATACTAGGATGGCTATCATCAAAGAGAAATAACAGCAAGTGTTGACAACAATGTGGAGAAATTGGAACCCTGATGCATTGTTGGACTGTGAAATGCTGCAGCCACTTTGGGAAACAGTTTGGCAGTTCCTCAGAATGCTAAGCAAAGTTACCATATGACCTAACAATTCCGTTCCTAGGTATTTACCAAGAGAATTGAAAACATATGCCCACAAAAAATCGTACAAGGATGCTCACAGCAGCATTATTCATAATTGCCAAAGAGTGGAAACAAGCCAAATTCCACCAACTGATGAACTAATTCATAAAACACGGAATAGTCGGAATAGAGTATTATTTGGCAATAAAAAAAATGAAATACTAATATATGATACAACATGGATGAACCTTGAACCGTTATCCTGCACCAAAGAAGCCAATGACTCTATTTACATAAAACAACCAGAATAGGCAAATTATAGAGATAGAAAGTAAATTAGTGATTGGTTGAGAGAGGAAGTAGGAATGCCTGCTAATAGTGACATGGTTTCTTTTGGGATGGTGAAAGTGCCTGAAATTAGATTGTGGTTAATGGTTGCACAACTCTGAACACACACACACACACACACACACACACACACACACACACACCCATTGAATTATGTACTTTAAATTGAACACAAAATGTTCTCACTGGTATGTGGATTATATCTTAATAAAGCTGTTATTTTTAAAAAGCAATAATACATTTTTTATATTGGAAAATTTAGACAACACCCCAAAAAAGGGTAAAAAAAAAAATCACTCATAATCCCATGAACCAGCAATGACCATTGTCAACATTTAAGTTTATTTTCTTCCAGCATTTAACTATATATTTTTACATAATAATGCTCATATTGCCTTTATACTTCATGTTCTTTCATAAGCATTTCACATGCCATGAAAAAATCCTTGTAAATATATAAATAGTAATATATTCAATTTAATAGATATTCCAAACTTTAATTATTATATATTCATGTTACTAGTCTTTTACTACTGGTTATATAGGTTATTTCCAATGCCTATATTTATCTTTGAACTAACAAATGAGAACCCAAATTTTGAAAGCT